AAAGTAAACTAAATTTAAGAAAATCTGAACGGGATTAAAGGAGGAAAGGAATAGACACTCGCCAGGAGATACACGAGCCAGCAAACACCCAACACCAAGTTCTCGGGATCCACGACTATTCAAAACAAATCATTAAAGATAATTCAACACAACGTCCTGGCCTGGACACATACAAGAGCTCATGAATTATACAACATACATCGTACCCTAGACCCAGACGTCATCATATTAAATTCTCACGGCAGGGGTAATTCAAATAAAATCAAGATATTCAATTACACAGTATACCAAAAAAAATAGCCAAAATCCGTTACAAGATGGAATTGCCATAGCAATTAAAAGAGGTATAAAACATAAAATCCATGATACATTTCAAGAAAACTTTCTGGCAATAGAAATTAACAGCACAACGGGTCCAATCATAATCGGCACCTGCTACCTCCCTCCAAGACGACCTATCTTTCCAGTAGCAGACATGCTCAGATTGATGAGGAGGAACATACCTGCATACTTTCTGGGTGATCTCAACGCTAAACACCGCATACTAGGACACCATACCAACAACGCAGTAGGCCAGGTCCTGAACACACTCGTGAGCCACGGCAATGTAGTACACCTCGGACCGGAATTCCCCACGTACATTAAAGCAGGCCACACAGGATACCCAGAGCTCGTGTTAACAAATCAACACCACCACCTAAACATACTACTCGAACCCGGCCCAATATCCACTAGTGATCATCTCCCTATCATAGCCACACTCTCCACAGCCCCAATACAGATCCCGGCCAGGCTAAGATTCAACTATAACCGGGCTAACTGGGAAAACTTCAAACAAGAATTAAATAACCCGCAACCCATACAATTACACAACAGGCACACTTCTCTAATAGACCAATCACTGGATATATGGTATGAGCACGTTAGCCAGGCCATGGAACACAACATACCCAAGACCACTTACCGAACATTACCACACCCTCAATACTCACACCAATCAAGAATCATACAGACACAATTTAGCAACCTAATTAAACTAATCACACAACAAGGATGGACACCAGAACGCAGAAGGATATACAACATAATACACGAACAACTAAAAAACATCTCAAAAGAAGCATACAACAGGAACTGGCAGAAGCTGATTTCAGAAACGGAAGGAAACTACCATAAACCGAACCAGTTCTGGCAAAAAATAAAGCACTTCCCAGCACCAAGCTGCATTGTACAACCAATACAATATGTATACAAAGTGCTCATTGTGAGTTTCCTTTCTCCAACCCAGTGGCGGCTCGTGAAAAATAAAATGGAGGGACTGCAAGCCTCACACAACAGTAGGATACACAAATTTGACCTACCTCAGGTATGAGTTGTAGTTGATGTCCACGAATTCCCAGGGCAACGATAAATTAATCATGTTATTCATATGTTTGGCTGACTGCTCATGTTTCACTATTTTCTGTGGCAAATGCCTCAAGTCAGTCACACCACTTTTCGTCCATGCCGAGTCCCCACCAAACAATAAGTATGGAAAGCAGAATAAAGTATTTGCCTCGTCACAACCACAGAGCCATTCACATTTCTGATAAACACTGATGTTAAACTGGCGTGTATATTCTTTGTTCCTGCTTGTACTGTTCTGTTGAATGGATAAAACTGGTGTAGGTCTTCCTCTTGCTTTGATTTCAGTCTTTTCATTTAATGTTCAGCTGGGAAAAGTTGATGTTTTGCAAATACTTCACTCGATTTTCCATCGTCAAAGGGTAATTAAAGAAAGCACGATTTAACCACACCGTCCACACGCAATGTAAACACGAGACTGAGCTGCTTCAAGTGCGGCGGCGGCGCCAATTAATAACAGACATGAATCGTACAGCATGGACAGCAACTATGAAAGTAACTTAAATTTTGGTCTGATTTTAATGAAAATTCACTTAGCAACGTATTGAAAATAATTAAATAACATATAAAATGATATATTTGTTGGTAGTGTATTATTCAGCTGTCTCTCTAAAGGAATCATACGCCTGGCAGTGAGTGTCTGCGGGACTGCAGCTCTGCAGCCCTATGCACGAGCCGCCACTGCTCCAACCCATCTTGAGTGTGAACCAATATCTCAAAACTCCACAGCATCACGAAAATTGTGACCAAGTCCCAGGTTGCTGATCTGACTTTCTGCCTCATTTACACACAATTGCAGGGTCTCAATTGTTTCTCTTACTATTGACAACACAACAGGTACATTGTTTCTCACTCTTGATTTTTTTCATTTTTGCATTTCTTTATTATTATTATTATTATTATTATTATCGCCCCCCAGGCTCCGAGGTGGGTCAGTGTTAGGTTTTAAATGCAAGAAAGTGGTTTTCTTACCGTAGAACTCAGATACCTTCACACTGGTTACTCACCCAGGAGATTATGGTGCATCACTGCGTAGAATTTCACTCTGCTTCTGGCATTCAATGCTTTGTGTACTTGATAAATGATGATTTAATGAATTCCATTAACTTACAACATCCATCTGAGTTATTGGTTATACTTGTCATAACCAATCAGTCATTACCTTTGATAATAATAATGCTAGAGGGGTCACAGATACGGGCAGATGATTGCACTTACGTTTATTTGGCACAATTCCATACACTGGACTCATGATTTGCATGGATAGGCCAGTCACTCACATTCACGCCACAGTACCGTAAGTTATAAGGAGAGTTTGTCAACCTGGAGAATTAATCGTTTAGATCTATTAGGCCAGCCTGGAGTGCTCTTGTAGCAAACAGGTCCTCACCATTGATCACTTCCTTTACAGGATGTGTTAACTTGTCGCTGGACTTAACAACAATCTCGGGGATTTGCACACACAGACTCGTAGCACTGGTAGGACTGTATGACCCCGGTTCTCAATCCGCGGAGCAGGAAGTCTTCTATTACCCAAGGTCTAAAGCCTACTGGCTAAAATGTGGTTTTGAGGCGTGAGATGACCCCTATCGGCTGGCCGGGTACCTTATCTCTACCTAAACAAACATTTGGGATGGGTTGTGCTGGAGGCCCAGCGCAACCTATGACAGTCAGTGACCTGTGCCCAGGTGGGCTAATCCCAGTAAAAAAAAATATTTATTTATTTTAGGGGTCTGGAATCGGGATATATATATATATATATATATATTGATACAATCACACAGGAAAAAGGGAAATAATGGAGCACCTTAGCTTTCGTCTTTATTCAAGACATCTTCAGAGGCAACTTAGAAGTGTATAAATCATTATGTGTCACAGAAAGACTTCTGGTTGAAGCAAGTTTGATTAGAGAATTGAATTCCATAAACCTTAGTGATGGTCAGCACAAAACTGTTAATATGTGACACAAATTTATTTGTCAGTGGCCCAGTGGTCCCATATTTTTTACCTAACTTATCATGACTAGTTACGTCGCCCTTTCTTTTAAGCTCCTTTGTGTGTGTGGTGGTGTTGGTGTGTGGATTAGTGGATGTCATTTATATATATATATATATATATATATATATATATATATATATATATATATATATATATATATATATATATATATATATAAAGTACAGTATATGATACTGCGAACATACAAGATTATGAACATATCGCGACCTAAATTATTTACTGTTAACAATATAAAGACATCACATTCACGGTAAAAGTTTTCTTTCATTGTAAACATAATAATACAAATGGCAGTTGTTGTCGAGGGATCGATTTCTCGCTCTTTCTCTACCAATAGTGGTGTCCCACAGGGTTCTGTTCTTTCACCAACTCTCTTTCTTCTTTTTATCAATGATTTACTTCACACTACAAATAATTCTATCCATTCTTACTCCGATGATTCTACTCTTCACTCTTCCTCACATTTTCCCCTTCCTCCTAACTCTCAAACTAGATCTGTTTCTGGAATTGATATCATTACTTCTATCAACGCGGATCTGTGCAGCATCTCTGAATGGGGAGATACAAACTTGGTTAAGTTCAATAGTAACAAAACTCAATATTTACCAATTACACTTTGTAAAGTAGACGATCTCCCACCAATTACATTTCAGGACGCTATCATCCTCCCAAATTCTGAAATAAATATGTTAGGCCTCACCATTTCCTCCAATATGTCCTGGAAATTACACATCCTTAGTATAACTAAAGCTGCCTCCCGAAAGTTGGGAATGCTGTATAGATGCCGCAGCTACTTCTCTCCTGAGCAGTTGCTCCAAGTATATAAGGGATTCATTCGTCCTAACTTGGAGTACTGCTCTCATATCTGGGGTGGCTCTTCTTCTGTCCAACTATTAGATAGGGTGGAATCAAAGGCATTTCGTCTTATTAACTCTCCTCCTTTAGTCGACAATCTCTCTTCCCTTTCTCTTCGCCGCAATGTTGATTCACTCTTTCTCTTTTACAGGTACTTTAACGGGCAATGTTCAGTGGATTTGGCATCCTGTGTACCGCCGGCAAGGCCGTGGGTTCGTAACACACGTCTTGCCCGCGGTGCCCACCATTTCTCTGTGGATGTCGGTCACACGAGAATAACCCGTTATAGTACCTCCTTCTTTCTTCACACAGCCAAACTGTGGAATGCTCTGCCTTCTTCTTTGTTTCCATGCTCTTACAATCTGTCTCACTTTAAAAAGCTGGTTTTCCGGCATCTTCGTGGTGTAGATTAACACAGTATAACCTTTTTTTCTATATTTTCAATTTCTTTCCGTTCTTTTTTTTTCGCCCCCCAGGCTCCGTTGTGGGTCGTTTGACCTGTGCCCGGGTGGGCTAATTCCCGTAAAAAAAAAAAAAAACGATAATGAAAATTAACGTGTCCTCGGAAATACCATCGAGTTGTGACGTCACGGATGTATGACGTCATAATGCGTTGGACCACGTCACTAGATGGCGCTGTTATTGAGGTATCTGGCATCCTCATCGGTCCACACAGTTCAGGTCTTTCATATAGTAGAGCTTTTCTGTCTAGGGTATATAGTCTTTGCACCTGACTACAACAAATTCCTCCACCTTGTACATTTTTCTCAATTTTCTCAAGAAATAATTATTTTTGGACGAGATTGATTTTAGTGGAAGTTGTTGGTGAGTTAGTGATTACATATTAATTATGTATGTAGTGCTTCTTGGGGAAGAAAAAAGAAGAAATAGAAGAAATATGAAACGCATCAACAGTGAAGTCTGCTACACTACATAGTGTAGATTAGTTAATTATATATTTTATTTAGTAATGTTGATAACTTATTTTAATTATTAAAGTAGATGTATATGCGGTAATGTATGTGGAAAGATCAAAGATGCTATTTCGATGAGATTAGGTTAAGGTTAATCTATTGGTCTAACCCGACAGGGCTGCATAGTGCCAAGGCGGCCGTATCATCTCGCGTCCAGGAAATGCCTCAAATTTAACCATATAGTAAGTTCTTTCTGTTTAATATACCGTGGAGGATAGGTAGGTTAGGTTTGTTCTTCATACCCACAACTGTAAAGTAGCGTTTATTTTAAAATTATCAATTTTTTAACACATTTTCACAAACTACAACAGTATCCACTATGATATAACAATGAAAATTCGGTAAATTTGTTTAAGTGCACCCAACTCTGTAAGAAAGTAAAAAATATATTTTTCTAGTTTATTTATTTGTGTTTAGATCGGTTATGACCTTCATTTCCGTCGGAAATTGGCCGGTTTTTTTCTATTTTTTCTTTTTTGGTGGGGCGTTTTCCGGAAAAAAAGTAATGGCTAAGCGAATACAAAATACAAAAAAAAAAAAAAAACTAGATAAACGTAAACCTGACCTGACCTGACCTAACCTAACCTAACCTAACCTAACCTAACCTAACCTAACCTAACCTAACCTAACCTAACCTAACTGAACTGAACTGACTTAGCATATGATGGAATCACTTATTTCTTACCTTGGGAGCCACGAATTACCCAAAAGTACCCAAAAGTATAGCAAATAAGAGTAAAATCTTAACGAGTATCTGTTATACATACACAAAATATGTTTAATAATATTTTTAGTGTAATTTTGTAAAAAAAATAATTTGTAAGATGAAATAATAAACAGCGAAAAACTTTCAGTATTGGCGAACGCTAAATTCCAAAGAGTTCGTGAACAAGGGAGATAACTCAGAGCCATCGTGATGCACTTCGCTAACCTAACCTAACGAAAAGTAAATCCTACGGCTATGTTAAATACCCCAAAGTAACAGAAACCTCGGTAATTATATCACCATTTTGGATAGGTGCCTCTTTGGAATTTAGCATTTTTCGCTGTTTATTATTTCATTATTTTGATTACATTTCAATGAAAACATTATTAATCAGGTTTTATTGATGTAAAACATATATTCGTTAAGATTTTACCCTGATTTAATATACTTTTGGGTACTTTTGGGTACATTTGGGTACTTTTGGGTAATTCGTTGGACCGCTTACCTTATTGGCCTGGTTCTCGTTCAAGTTACCACAATGCCACATATGTTGGTCTTGACGATATTTACATTCGTTCTTGCACTTGGGACACTTTACTGAAGTCAGAACACCATGTGATCGAGAAAATGCTATTGTTTCTTCGTTTTTTTCCCCAAAAACTCGCAATAAGCTCCATATAATTGAAGTGACACCCATTGCAGACTTCCATTATTGGAAATGAATTTGAATTTCGAAATATGAGACCTAAAATAAAAATCGAATTTGATTGGGCCAAAAATACCGCGAATTAAACCACAAATCATTTTAATTGGTTGCAAAAAAAAAAAAGCTTTTTATTGGCCGCGTGACGTGTACGGGAAAAAATGTGCATGATGATTTATGAAGGAGACACGCAGTGTGGGAGCTGAGGTAGGCAATAATGGCGGAAGATTAATGGAAGAAAACAGAAAATTTTGGATACGCTATCTTCATTATTATACATTTGCAACGGTAATGTAATAGGAGAAAATTATCTTAAAATTATACATCTTATTCGAATATGATAATAGATTAGGGGTATGAATGTTGGGTGTGGAAATACAATAATACCGAAAATTCTGTATTTTTATAATTTTCAATCAATTTCGTTCCTGGGTTAATTCTATATAATTACCGTAATAAAAACAATACTACCATGCACAAAACCTAATAGAACCTGATATAACCAAGCTAAGAAACCTACCTAACCTTTCCTGCATATGTGTCTTGGGTTTATGTCCTGGCTCGAGACCTGTGGGGAGGAAACTTCGGTAGGTCTATTGGCTCATACTAGGCAGCTCTGGTCACCTGAAGAATCTTCACCCCAATTTATTTCACCTTATGATTAATCTACCAAATGTGGTACTATTTTCGCTCTGGTCATATAGCAAGTTTTAGTAGGTTAGGTTTGATTAGGCTGCATTTGAGAAGCATTTCTGTGGCCGATTTTTACCGGTTAGGTTAGGTTCGGTTCGGTTCCAAATAGGTGGATGACCGAGACGATAATTTTACCCATAATGATAACACTAAAAAGAACACCAAACAAACCATTGAAAACTTTACCGAACCTTTCCTGAATTGTAAAAGGGGTAATATTGAAGCATGATGGTGAACACCAGATGGAGTTGTTCAATTTCTTTACTTTTTCAGCAAGTGTTCTCTCGATGATAATAAGTAATAAAAACGAAACAAAAAATTTTGGTTCAATTGCAGATATGCAAATTTTTATTTTTATAGTATAAGATTTTTTATTTAATTTTTTAGTTTTTCTCTACAATCATAAGTCACCTGTAGTGGGCACGGTGTGAAGGATGAGGGACACTGAGGGGTAAAATATAGTGACAAACTGATCACTTGATCAGTTTCGTACACCACTATATACGTGAAGTAATTAATTATTTATCTTAAATATTTCTTAAGAAAACTGCCATTGTCTGCGCCATGTTGTCGTCTGCTGTTTGTTCACTCTCGGTCCAAGTGTGCTCTCTAAGTCCACCAAAAAACCTAAAAGTACACCATAATGCTTCAACAAAGTTGCTTTTATTGGTACCTGATATCAAAATATGTACTTGCTGTTTAATATGGTAGAGGAAGTTAGGTAAGGTTAAGTAGGTTTCTTTGGTTTTTTAGGTCAGGTTCAATTAGGTTCAGTGCATTGTCATATCATTTTTATTACAGGTTACTTATTTATCATCTAAACAACAGCTGCTTAAATAATTAATGATATCGAACAAATGCTTCTGGACAAATTTTGTCTAAATTTTTCTCTGTCAGATTTCTCTAAAGTATCTGTGTTGTTCTTGGGTGCTGAAGACTGTGGATACTATCTGCAAGTTGTGACAGTTTGTCTCAAAGAAATGACATACTGTACTCCAGAAAGGAAACGCCATTTGTAGATTTACAGTTCACGGTTTCAACTATTTGTGGTTCATTCCCTAAAAAATAAAAAATAAATAAAATATTTATATATATATTGTAGTTCTATATAACAAACAGTTCCTTCCCTTCTGATAATCATCCTCTGAGTGACACCATTATACTAATAAATAAATAATGCTGTGGTTATTAACCATCACCAGTTGAATAGCCTGGTAGTCTTACACAGACAGCCAGGATATTCAGCCATAAACCCATAAACTTCATAACAACTGTATATTTGTACCCAGACATACAGTTTCTGATTATTATGCCGAGGGCTCCAAGAGCAGATCCCCCTGGTTAGGAAGCTAGGTAAGGTTAGGTAAGTTAGTTCAGGTTCTGTGCATTGTCATTTCAGATGTTAGCCGTTTCCTCCATCATTACTTCAAAATTAAACTCAGCTCCCGAAGGAATTTAAAGAATTGCACCAAAATTTCTAGAGATGTTATTTGCTTGTTATAATCCTGATTTATAATATTTCGACCTGCAATGGGTTTTCAGGAATGTGACCCATCATAAATAGGGGGATACCTCTACTAATATACATACTGCAATGAGTGTATTGTTCATGTGAACAGGATTTCCATTGTTTTATATTATAGAGTTGAATCACTATTCACTTAGTAAGAAAGTACAGCTTAAAGATACATACAGGTACATATCCAACATAGACTGATGTAAACGGATATTTGCGACCTTTAGCTATCGACTGTCATAATTTATTTGGGAATGCCAATTGGGTAGGCAGCTATCGCTTTAATTTGCATACTGTCATTCAAGGAGGAAATGTTCTTTCAGTGAATGGATTGTCACAAATAATGCTGTCATATTATTTGACTCGTACTTCATTTCTGAATGATGTTACCAGTTCAGTTTTACAGCTGTCCATTAGAGTTGCTAATTGTCAGTTGCTAGCTTCTTTACATCAACATCAACTGTCTGATTCGGGAGAAAAACACTGCAATACACTGGCTCTACCATTCATTACACTGTACATCGTTTCAGTTAGTGGATGGATTTCCAGGAACACAATCCCTTTGTATACAAGTTTATTTAACCTGATAATTAAACACCCTAATGCTACTTGAGGGATTAGGTTAGGATAGCATTAGGGTGGTTAACCTTGAGGTGATCCAAAGTATGTTTAATTATACTGTACAGTATTAACTAAATAAATGGACACCGTTAATAAATTTACACAACAAACACACAAAGCTGATGACAGTATAACATCACACATCCATTTCACATTAATTATTACTGTTTAGTGTTGTTTATACCATATATTTTATATATGTATATCATTGCCAGAATATTCACTTAATATTTGTAAATTAATGTTGTATCCTTCCTGTGCTCTGCAAGTAGTAGTGAGGTTTGAATTAACTAACTGGTCATCTGTGTGTTCTCAACAGAGGCTACCCCATGGTGACAAATCCTGCCAGAGGCTACCCCCCAGAGTATTATAATCTGTCAGAGGCTATGCTAGAGGCTACCCCAGGCTGCTAGAGGCTACCCCAGGCTGCTAGAGGATACCCCAGGCTTATATAACACTGACTGACAATTTGTCTCTTTTCAGAAAAAGGTAAGAGTTTATTCATGAGTGTACAGAGAATTATGGTGTTGAGGGATAACATTTGTAGTACAATACAGTACTGTATTCAAGTAAATACTCCAAAAGAGGAGCTCTAGATCACTGTAGTTAGCCTCTTTAGTACAGTTACCAAAGCTTTTTAGTACAATACTCTTATCCCTACAACACTATATATTAACTCTTTGAATACTGTATCATGATATTCCCAGGAGTACATTAATCTTATACTGTACTCAGGTGTGGTCGTCGGACTCAATGAGTTAAGGTAAACTAACCATAATAAAGTGAAATTGAGTCTCAACTGTAAGATGAATCACAATGGTGAGACAGGGGGACTAAACATACTTAATTTTGTGAAGGATGGACATGTGAAATACAGGTAAACCTGGATTATCGATGGGGGTTAGGTTCCTGAAAAACCCATTGGTAAGTGAAATATCAAAGGTAAGGATCATTATAACATGGGGTTTAATGGGATACATTCCCAACCAGTCCCCAAACACACATGTATCACCAGCAAAAAAGAATCCTACGCTTGTAAAATCAGTAGAAAACAAATTAAACAACACTCACCACATAATGAAGAATAAGCCTGGTCATCATCCAGGGACTCTTGTAGGTGTAGTGGAGATGTCACTCTGACTTCCACACAGCCTCTGGGGAGCCTCATGCCACTTCACAATGTCAAGCTTCACCTCAGAGACATGGTTGTCTTGGATGCTTTGGCCTTTCCAGATATTTTCAGAGTTACACTGCTCACTTCTCAGTCACAAAAACAGCAAAGGCAGCTTGTCACAAAAACAGAGCGAACAATGATACCATAAAAACAATGATAGTGGCTGACACTGCTCACAACAACAGAGGCGAAGCATTTTACAGTCACGAAACAACAGAAAATATCACTTCACAGTCACCATAACACAGTTCAATCTAAATGTTAGTATTATATTGTCCTCGCTATAAGAAAAAAACCACCGATGAGTACAATGTACATGCAGCCAACGATAATCATGAAACTACGCGATGGCTGGGAGTTATGCACGACAAAGAGTCAAGCGCTGGATTGTAGTGCGGGAGTTGGCCGTGTGGCGGAGCGCGGGTAGGTATTACCGTGACTGACAAGTACAACCAGAGATGCGTTACCTATGGTGGTGGATAGGATTAAATATCGTTTCCTTATAAAAGAGACTGATTTGACATAGAAAAATATAAATTGCATTGCTGGAATCCTTGCAAGATAGCGATTAATTTGAGTACAGCATGCCCTTAAAATTCGCGGGAGTTCGTGCCTCAAAATGGCCGCAAATTGCCAAATCCGCTAATATCATTTTCTGACTGTGTGCAAATAAATGTATATCCCCTTTGTGTTTGCCCTTCGGACAATTATTTCTTTTACCTGTACTGAATATGTGTGTGTAGCTACACACACACACACACACACACACACACACACACACACAAGACACATTCACACACACACAAGACACATACAATAAATAATAATGGGAAAACCCTCTCGCAAATAATAAAAAACAAGACAAAATGTATCGAAATGTAGAAAAAATGCGAGTCTACCCTAAAGTCAACTCCATGCTTTATTAAAGTTGGGTTGGTTGGGTTGCCATAAGGCAATTTTTTCCTCATAAAAATTACTGTCTCTAGAATGAAATGCATCCGAGCTCCAGCTGGGTTGATATATACAGTAGATCAAACTTACACAATTTATTTCGTGGCCATCTAGCCAACCCAATATGAAGAATGTCGTTACAGTGGGGTATGCTATAACGAACGGATCCTACTACGAATATTCCTATAACGAACGGTTTTACCTATAAAATTGAGAATGCTATAACGAACGAAACTCTTACAACGAACATTATTTAAATTTTTTTTTATTTTTTTTTTTTTACCAATTTATTGTTTTATTATTACAAGTATTAATGATATTCTTTATTTCAGGGGTTTAGATGCATATGTATGCACTTTATTACAATTTTTACAATTTTATATTATATTTTTCAGTGTTAAGTGGTTGTATTTGGGGGCCTGGAACTGATTAATCCTACAACGAACGAATGCTATAACGAACAAGGTTCTAGACCAATTACATTCATTATAGCATACCCCACTGTAATTGCGATGTAATGCTGTACTTTTTTCACATTATGTATGTAGGATGGTGTGTGTATGTAACTGGGCAAAAATAAATGAAGAAAATTACGTGTATCTACCTGAAAATACGAGTTAAAAAGCAGTCATAACACCTCACAGCCATAGTTTTCTTAAAATAATACAGTATATACAGTACCAGGAAATGTGAGGAATATATAAAAATAATACCAATGAATAAGTTACAACGAAAAATACTATACCTGTACAGTATTGCCAAATCGGAAAATAATAGCCAAATGAAAGTTTAACCCAGTCGCCATTTGCATACATTTGCATACATTTGCTCCACCATAGTAATAAAGATCAGCTGGGATGCCGATTCCCTAGCAACGCTTACCACCAGCTACACTCTGCGCCCTCCTCCCTTTACGTGTTTGCCCTTAGGACAATTAGTTCTCTTAATTTTTTTTTCACTGTGAATTTAGGATGGTGTGTGCATGTAACCGAGTAAAAATAAATGAAGAAAGTTATGTATATCTACCTGAAAATACGAGTTGAAAAAACATAACACATCATTATTCTTTAAATAATGTTTCTGAATGCACCTTATACAATATAAATGAATAATAATATGGTCACACAAGAGGAGATGGGACGCCATTGTTTTCGTTTGTATTTACAGCCAGGAGTCCGGGACGATAGTTCTACACGAGAAAATTAAGAAAATAAGACCCTGGTTGTAGCTGTAGTAAAATTAATGTAAAAAAAATAATATACAGTATATGTTTTAAGTAATGTTATTTAATGTTAATAAATGGAACAATAGAAGTAACTAACCACTAATGGTAATAAAAAAGAAAAAGATGGATTGGGAACGGCAACATATACGTGCGCATTTAAGGATACTGTACCGCGTCATTTATCTTTTTAAGAATATGTACAAGAGATTCATTATTGTTTATTACTGAATATGTATTTGATTGGATTAATCTTTATATGTGCAAAATGAATACAATACAGTTCATTAATAATACAGTGATCCCTTGGTTAACGAGATTTCGGTTAACGAGATTTCGGTTAACGAATTACCTTCTAAAAGATTCTTAACATCGGTTAACGAGCAATCCCTCGATTAACGAGTTTTTGACGAGCGCCCCTCCACATGTTTTCGCTTGCATTTGGCAGTCCACCAGTTGTAGTATTAGTCCGCCAATACAGTAATCGGTTCTAAGACTTAAATTTCTTACTACAACCTGTATTTTAGTAAATGTCAAGAAGTTTGTACTATTCAATAATTTTAAAAGTTTTATATTAAATTTTTTAGTCATTTTAACAATTATTGAACATAATTGAAGTTTAGGAAGCTAGTTTTTTGCACGCCAAACAGCCTGTCAACACACCATACAGTGTAACATCTTGCTTGAGTCTCTCTTCAACTAAATGCTTTTTTTCTGTGTTTCCAAGCAAATTATTGGTCAATTTGAAATTTATTTTACATATTGACAGTATATAATACAGTGCAGTGTTGATTTAAAGAAAATAATCTTGAATTACACTAAGAGAACTAAAATTTTATGGGTGAAATGGCACCATGGGGTGACTTCTCTTCCACCCCAATGCCTTCTCTTCTCCCTTCTCCTCCACCCCCATTCTAATTCCCATCATCATCATCATCTAGGAGCCTTCTACATACACACCTCAAAGTAAGTGTACTTTACTACCTTTTTTGTTGAATTTAGGCAATTTTCGGTGAGCTGGAACCAATTACCCAAAAACCCATTGAAACAATGGTTTCGGTTAACGAGTTTTTCGGTTAACGAGCAACCTTCTGGAACGAATTGTGCTCGTTAACTGAGGGACCACTGTACGTAGAATATTAAAACACACACAGGGAGACAAGACGGCATTGTTTTCGTGAGTGACGATAGTTCTACATTAGAAACTGAAGAAAATAAGACCCTGGTTGTAGCTGAGGTGAACTTAATGTAAAAAATTTAATACCTGTATGTATGTTTTAAGTAATGTTATTTAATGTTAATAAATGGAACACTAGAAGTAGCTAACCACTAATGGTAAAGAAATAAAGTGAGACGATTGGGAACGCCAACGTATGTACAGTAAGTGTGTACATGTGAAAACATACCGTCATTTCTCTACATATGAATATGAAAGTAACACTTATTTACTGTTACGAATGTAAAACAAAAATTCTACTCACCAATGGTGGTAAAGTCTTAAACATAAGGACAGCCAAAGAATATTGTGCAAGTTTTTACTCATGACGAAGTCATCAGGTTCAACTCTGACTGAAGCTGTAGCTTTTCATAAAGCTGTTGCTGAAACTGTTACTGAACCCGAAGTAGTTGTTGAAGCTGCTTATGATGCTTAATTTGATGGTGTAGCTGAAGTTGATGGATTAGGTCTTTGAATAATAAAGCTGTCGAAAGAACCTTGCACAGCTGCTTTCTTTTCTCATTATACATCTTTATGTAGAGGTCATTTTCGTTTATTTAAATTTTAATGCTTTGTTTTGTTTATGGATCCACTTCAGAAAATATGTTCATTGCTTGCTCCATATAATATCCACAGACCTCTCACCTTTCTCATATCATTTTAACACATCTAGCTTCTCGGCTAAGCTTATACACTTTCTATTAGATTTTGAAACAACACTACCATCACTTGCTCTCTTGCTCTTGTTGAATAGGGATGCAAAAATGCTGTAAGAAACCTGAGAAAGTTTTTCTCCTTTTCCTGTTCAGGTGCGTGAAAACAAAGGGCCCACCAGCTGCGATTGTTTATACACCCTGTACTAGTGATGCTGGCGTCACCACTAACAAGCCCGGCAGCCTCCGTGCGCAAGTCGTGTTTTTTTCTTT